AAGCAATGAATATGCCCGATGCAGATCCCGGAGGGAAACCCTCGAGGAGATCCACACTAGGTGCTTCGATCTCTCGAAAGAGATAAAACAGGGCAAGGCGGATGAACACGACACCAAGTTCCTCGTTTCCGATTTCGAAGACAATGAGGAAGGGGCCAACTGAGCCGTAGCCCCCAAGGGGAAAGTAGAATAGGCTTTTCCTATCTGATTCTGTGTATAGGGCTCTTAGAGAGCATTGTAAATGAAACCTTGTATTATTTCATGTATATAAAGAAACGTTTCGGTTTTCTCCTTTCATGAATTTCCATTTGCTTGTGTATTTCTTTTGTTTTTAATTTTGACGTTTGTCAATGATTAGCTAGACAAATCGGGCTTCGGGATAAAACCCTTAGGTTTACAAACCGGCCCTGAGGCTTGTTAGGCTGGCCCGTAGGCTCTTACGCATTTGCCTTTAGGCGCTTTTTAGTTAACCGTTTCGGGCTTAGTCTTCGAGTCGGGTTTCGACTTGAGATCGTCGACCCTTAAGTTTTTGAATTTTAAGCTGGCTCTTAGGCTCTTACGTATTGGGTTGGTACAACCTCTAATATAGGTTGGCGCTTAGGCTCTTACGTATTGGGTTGGTACAACCTCTAATATAGGTTGGCGCTTAAGATCTTACGCGTTGGGTCGGTACGACCTCTAACATAGGTTGGCGCTTAGGCTCTTACGTGTTGGGTCGGTACAACCTCTTACATAGGCTTTATTTTTCCCTCATTAAAGACTTTTTGAAGTTTTGTGTTCATCTGACTCTTTGATGGTTCGATGAGAACCTCGATTGTGAGCCGTTATGTAACAATAGTGAGCACCTCGGGAGGTTTTCTTTGACGGCTGAATTGTCTCGAAGCCTTTTATTGTTTGGAGCTGACATGATCGAAGCTCATTTGCTTATGCCGAGGGTAGCCTGATTAACCGGTTTTTTTTTTTGAAGTATTTTCAAAGTAATTGAAGGCCTGTGATTTTATGGCGACGGGTCGGGCGTCCCCGAGTCGCGTTAGTTTAGTCGGAGCCTTATGACCGTAGCCATTGTGTTTGGCCATAGCCTTTTAGTCCCCTGAGTGAGGTAGCCTCGGCGTTTATATAGAGGGTATGCCTTTTTAGGGGTCTTACAAGTTCGAGTATATAGCCTTGACTTTAAGATCGGGATTATGCCCTTTGTAAGGTCATATAAATTTGAACATGCCTTACTTGAGGTCTTATAGATTCTTTGGTTACTTGGCACAAGTATAATTCATGCCTTGCTTGAGGTCTTACAGATTTGGTATTGCCTTATAGAGGTCTTATGAGTTCAAGGTTGACCGCTTGGGGCCTTATGGCCTCGAGTTTTTGATAGCTCAATGGGGTGACAGCTGGTGATAGTCCTCGAGACATCGAGGGTTTTTGGCTCTAGAGTCGTTCTTTGTAAACTTGATGTTGCTTTATTGAGGGCTTACAAGCTTGAAGGTTTCGGCTCAGAGGTCTTACAACTTCGAGTTTTTTACGTTAGTTCCCGAGAGTTCGGGAAATTTCTGGCCCTTGGGCCATTTCTTGTAAAAAATAACAAACTTCTTTGAAGTGTGAAGTGTTTCAATGGTAGAAGATACTCCTTTGATTACTTGGTACAAGTATGCATGTTTTCATCGTCTAGGGTTCGATTATTCTACGTGGACACAGTTCATTTGATTATTTGGCCCGATACATCATTTTTCAATCGAGATCCTCTTTGGCTCATCTTGACTTCTTCGGGAAGGTGGTCTCCCGGGGGGTTGAACCCCAGTATTCGAGGTTGATTGAAGAGAAGCCTTGAATACTTGTTAAGTTCTCCTTAGGTAGCATATAGATGTTGCCTCGTTAAAAACCTTGCTGGTAAAACACTTCTTGGGATAAAATCCGATCGAAGGAAAAGAGTGCAGCGCATGCTTTACAACCTAAGGTCTTCAAGCTGGAAGGGGCTATGATTTTTCTAACCGGACACTTGCATACAGGTTAGTGTAAGACGTAAATAAAAAGGGAGATAGTTATACCTTAGTAGTAATGGCTCTTCGAGCCTCGATATGCTTCAACTGCTCGCTCTGGGGACGCGGTACAGTCCTTTAATCATTCACTCGAGTGCATCTGATGATGTAGCTTGTGATTGCTACTTAGCTGTTTGCTTATCCTTTGGCTCCTTTGATGTTGAAGGTGTCGATGTCGGTGCCACATCGTGCACTACGAACATCTATCTTGCTGCATGTTGCTCCCCGTATACTGTTTTTATTCCGTCCTTTGTTGGAAACTTCATCATTTGATGAAGGGTTGATGGTACTGCTCTTATCCAGTGTATCCATGGCCTTCTGAGCAAGGAATTGTACCTCATGTCTCCTTCGATGACATGAAACTTGACATTTTGGGTTGTGCCGCCCATGTTGACCAGGAGGGTGATCTCCCCTTTCGTTGTTTTCCTCGCCATGTTGAATCCGTTGATGACTCGAGAGGCGGGCAAGATCTGGTCGAGCAGTCCGAGCTGCTCCACCACCCTCGACCTGATAATGTTGGCCGAACTACTTGGATCTACAAGCACACGTTTAAGTTGAAATGTATTCACAAGAAAAAAAATTACCAATGCATCGTCATGAAGCTGAGACAGGGCCTTCATGTCCTCTTCGCTGAATGTGAGAGCATCCTCGAGTATGTAACCTCGAGTTTGCTTTTCCCTGGTGATGCATATTTTCGTTCGTTTGACAATGGGTTCCTGTGGGATGTCGATTCCTCCAACGATCATGTGGATGACATGTTGTGGCTCTTCCGTTTCATTTTTCATGTTCGCCTCTTTTTCCCAAAATTGATTTTTGGCTCGGTCGCTGACGAACTCTCGAAGGTTCCCTTTGTTCATTAGTCGGGCTACTTCTTCTAGGGGCTGTCTGCAATCTTTGGTCCTATGACCGTGTGTGCCGTGAAATTCTCACACTAGGATAGGGTTCCTTTGCGACGGATCTGATGGTATGGGTTTTGGCCATCTGGGGTCTTTGATTTTATCTATGGCTAATACGATGTCCGAAATATCAATGTTGAAGTTGTACTCAGACAATCGGGGTGCCTTTGTCGGTCCTACGTATCTGTTGAATCTGGCTCTTCTCATGAGTCCCTGAGGATTCTGACCTCGATCTACCCTTTGGTCGTTTTGGGGTACGTTATGCCTTGGAGCATTTCTTCGATCTTCAGTGTACGGCTGGTACCTTTCTTTGTTTGGCCTTGGTTCCTTTGCGAGGAGCCTGCTAGAATACACTAAGCCTGAGGGGGCTCCTATCTGGTCGTCCTCAACCCTAATCTTTGATTGATACCAGTTGTGGACATCCACCCAAGTCACGGCGGGATATTCAACCAAGTTCTGCATTAGCTGCTTCGACGCTATCGAGCTTCGTTCGCTCAAACCTTGGGTGAAGGCCTGTGCTGCCCAGTCATCGGAGACTAGTGGTAATTCCATTCGCTCTATTTGAAAGCGAGATACAAACTCCTGCAGCATCTTATTTTCTCTCTGTTTGATTTTGAAGACATCGAATTTCCTTGTAGAAACCTTGATGGCACTGGCATGTGCCTTTATAAAAGAATCTGCCAACATGGAAAATGAGTCTATCGAATTCGAGGTTAGGTTGTGATACCACATCATGGCCCCTTTTGAAAGGGTTTCTCCAAAAAATTTCAACAGGACGGATTCAATCTCGTCGTCCTTCAGGTCATTTCCCTTTACAGCATAAGTGTAAGCAGTGATGTGCTCGTTGGGGTCCGAGGTTCCGTTTTACTTCGGGAGGTCGGGCATCCTGAATTTCTTCGGGATGGGCTTTGGAGCAGCAGTCGATGGGAATGGCTTTTGTACGAATTTCTTTGAATCTACACCCTTCAGAATCGGGGGTGCGCCTAGAATCTGATCAACACTTGAATTGTAGGTCTCCACCTTTTTGTCATTGGCTTCTATCTTCTTTTCGCCCGATTCAATCCTCTTTGTGAGGTCCTCGAGCATCTTCATAATAGCGGGGTCGGCTGCTGACCCGTTGTTGCTCGATCTTTCCGGTACCTGTTCGGCTCGAGGAGCCGTTTCCGGTGCCGTTGTGCTTGGAGTTTTTTGGTGGCTTTGCAGTTGAGCAATTGCCAGCTGTTGTGCCTGCAATATCTCAAAAATCACGTGAAGGCTAACCTCTCGTTCCTCCCGAGCTAGGGTTCTCTGAGCTTCTTATTGGTTTTCATGCATATACTCACGTTAGTGTGGGAGATTACATCGATGTGTTGGGCATTGCGTGAGACCAGATCCACGGGGATTGGCTCTGGTGCATCCTCAGAGTTTCGCAATGGTACACCGACGCCTGGAACAGCTACACCATTCTCTCCATGGTCCTCAGGACTGTTGTTTTCATGTGCATTCACTGAGTTAGACATTTTGACCTGAAATCAAAGATTCTTGGGCAAGAAAAAGTGTGAAGAATAACTTGCATTTTCAATAAACCAGCACGAAAACAATCACTATAATTTTTAGCCCCGCAGTGGGCCCAAACTTTTTACCTTGAAAATGGTAATTACAATTATATTTGATTGTGTGGTTCTAAAAATATGTGATCTATTTTAATGCTAGTTATTAGGCAATAGATGCGAACTGTGAGCCAGGAAAATGAAATAAGAGCTTGAGAATAATAAGTTATGCAAACCGAATGACCGCGAATCGGGGTGAGTCGAGGTCTCGAGCTGGCCTATACCGGGCCTCGAGGTTGAGCTGATGAGCTTGATTGGGGACGATCGATGAAGGACTAACAGTTCCAAGGGCCTCAATAATGGCTCTTTATGATCAACGATGAATAATAAATAAGGAACAATCAATGAAACATAATAAATGTAAGCAATAATAAATCAAAGGAAAGACAATGGAGAATGTTTAAGTTAGAGAGCAGAGAATGTTCTTGTATTGAATATCATGTCCCCTTACAAAATGACAAAAATCCTCTTTATTTAGGAAGGGGAATCCCAACATAGTACATATGCATTTATTACAAAGGTATGTAGCTGGTACAACTATTTAATATCACGGTACGGACATGTACTATTCTTGTAGACTTAGTCAGCTTTAACCACGTGCCTTTTGGGAATTTTCCGCTTGTCTAAGATAGTCACCGATTTGCACTGCTCCGAGGCCGAGAATAGGGAACCATCAGGATCAAACCTCAAGTTGTGCCTCGAGGCTTCTGAAGATGGGCTGCGAAATGCCATAATGACCACAAAATCGAACTCTCCGATTTTAGCCGTATACAATTTCAGACAAATTGGCCAATTTCACTAAAAATTACATGTCTCTAGCTAGCTTAGCTAGCAAGAGTACTCTTGTAAAGAGAGTTTTGGTGAATTCCAATATCTCTAAAAAGAAGGAATTTTAATTTAAATAATGTATTGACAGAACTCATATCCACACAGCAAAATCCAAAGATGATCCAAGCTTAAAAATGCAAAGGATCTCTTACGACCACTCTAGCCTCCGTTCTCATTCTAATATGAGCAAGACTCATGTTATCAAAAAAAAAAAAAGCAGGCATTTTCTGATATTGGGTAAGCATTGTAGCAGTTAGCTTGAATATTTACATGAAGCTGAATTCAACATTAATCTCTACCATTATTTGTATAGAGACTGGATTAATCAGTATTAGCAAAATATAATCTTTCTTTTTCTAGTAATTATCCAAAAATATATATATGTAAAGAGAAATGAGGGATACAATGTCGACTCAATCATCTGAGAAGAATTGGCCACTAAGATTATCCATAACAGCTAACTGCATATTCTCTGATGGTTTCCAATGTCTCTTCCTTTGGTTTATAAACCAATTGTTGATCTGCTTCGGATCTAGTCCCGTTGATTCTGCTAGTGAATTTTTATCTCCTTCCTATATAACATCAGCCACATAATTATATATATATTGGAAAAAAAAAATGAATTGGTCCCACCCATCCTCTTGAGGGTTTAATTAGCAAGAATAATATACACTACTAGAAATTCGGCAAAAACCGACCAAGAAAAACCAACCAACTTTGTTGGTCAAAAAACCGGCCAAAAACCGATCAATGTTGGTCGGTTTTTCAAAATATTTTAATTTTTTTTTTTATGAAACCGACCAACTTTGGTCGGTTTTCTTTGGCGCAAAAATACGGGAAACTATTTTCGAGTCCCGCAAAATTTATTTTTCAAGAAACCGACCAACTTTGGTCGGTTTTTGCAATTAAAATAAATAAAAATTAATATTAAAAAAACCAACCAACTTTGGTCAGTAATTTTATTTTTTAATAAAACCGACCAACTTTGGTCGGTTTTTGCAATTAAAATAAATAAAAATTAATATTAAAAAAACCAACCAACTTTGGTCAGTAATTTTATTTTTTAATAAAACCGACCAACTTTGGTCGGTTATTTTCGTGCGAAAATACAATTAAAGAGTATTAAAAAAATAAGACAATCTTAAAACAAAATGCACCAATGATCTAGTGGTAGAATAGTATCATGTAGCAGTACACACCCCGATTCGATTCCCATATGATGAATCTTTTGATTAAATAATTAAAATACTAACCAACTTTGGTCGGGTTTTTTTTTTTGCAATATTTTATTTTTAATTTAATTGACCGACCAACATTGGTCGGTAATTTCCAACCAACTTTGGTCGGTATATTAAAACGACCATCAAAATAGTCCAAGCATATTTGGTTGTGTTTTGGTCGGTAATTATCCATAACCAACCAATGTTGGTCGGTTTTTTTGGTCGGTATTTACCGGATTTTTAATAGTGATAAGGGTTTTATCAGAAACAACAAAACGAAACTTAAAAAAAAAAAAAGTGAGTGAAATTACCAATGAATTAAAATTTGTCGATGAGAGACTAGCCAAACTACTGTCTGTACTCGTTTATTTTCTAAACTCATTAGACTTATTAGGTTGATATGTTGAAGAAAAAGTCTATGCCACGAAGGAATAGTGAAAATATGATCTAATAACATGATATAGTATTTTCAGTTATAAAGATTAGCTTTGCATGCTTATCAAGGGCATGTTATCAATTACCAACATAACTAGGATTTAAGTTAGACAAATTAAAGAATTTTTTCATTATCGATAGTTTAACCTGAAATAGCCGGATATTCATTATTTTTACCAGGTTATCAATTAATGCATGTTTATCATAAAAACTTACTTGTAATTGATTTAATAGTAACCTAATTGTGTAATTATCTTTTTAAATTATTAGTGTATAAATGTTAAACTCATAGAATTACGAGAAAAGCAGTTTGATACTATGTTGCTCGGACTTCCTAAAATTGTTGGTGCACCTATGTCAAATCCTCAAAAAATACACTATATTTAGAGCATGCATTTTTAAAGATACCGAAGAACAAGAACAAAAAGGCATTAATGTAAATGTAAAAGATGGATATAAATAAGAAGTACAAACCGTAGGGTAAGGCCATCTATAGTGGTCATTCCACCATGCAAGTAACATTTGCCTTGCCTCTTTTGGTAGCTTTCCTTTCTTCTTTTTCTTTGAGAACTCCAATTTTAGACTACTTAGGTGACTCCCAAACTTACGTAGGAGTCTGCCCTTTAGTTCATTATCCTCACTTCTCTGTCCTTCTACCTCCCCACAACTCAACTCTTCATCTGATGATACACCACCATCATCTGCAACAATCAAATGCACAATTAACTACATATTAGATCAAGATGGACTTTGTTAGTTGTATACAGGAGCAGAATTAGAGTTTAAGGTACGGGTTCAGGTGAACTTAGTAATTTTGGTTCAAGTTCTGTATTGATGTTAGAAAATTCATTTAATATGCAAATATAAATTATTTAAAACGTATAAATTTGAATTTAATAAAATTCCGAACCTATAAGCATCAAATCAATGGCTCCGCCTCTGGTTATATAAGCTCTTCACACATCCTAACGGACTTTGTTAAAGTTCATTTCGTTTTGCGCAAAACAAATAAGAGAAAATCTTTCCTAAGAGTTTATACATTCATGTGTTAACTAATCATTTATCTAGTTCTAGTCAAAAGCATAAGGATACAATGCACACGCCGGCACGCAAAGACAGAAAAGAGATGCGTTCAAAAAAGTTCTCAAACTTGTTTTTGTAACATCTTGCACTCACACACGAGATAAAAGAAAACTAAATGAAGCAGTACTCTTCTCTTTTACGTCCTATGAGAGAATCCCAAAAGAGATGAAATATAATTTATATAAGGGGAGTGGAAACCTCTCTCTTATAAGCTGTAAGGACTGTTGGAAAAACATAATACTACTAGATTACTCTCAAAATATGTGTGATTTTCTTAGTTCATGTATTCAAGAGATTATGTAAGGAGCATATATAGTTTAGAAATAAATTATGATATATCTACTAAACGAGGTACTTGTTAGGATACTACTTCTTAATAACACCTATATACTATAGCTATTTTATACAAATGAACTTGAGAGAAGTAAATTGTATTGGTCAAAATCTGACCATTGTGGTCAAGCTGACCAACATCCCGCCCAGGCGGCAAGGCAGCGAAAGACAACATGGTCTAATCCACATCCAGCACTCTCGATACCCGTCGAGTCAGAAGAAACAACGTTTAAAGGACGACCAAGGCAGACATAGTGTGATAGAGGGTCGGACCGAGTGAATAGCAAAGGTCCCATGACTATATATAATAGGGGAAAACCTTCGATTGGGGGGCTTCCTTCCATCCTCTCTCCTGAGTTCTCTCCTTGTAATCTTCATAATAAAGAAGAAAGGAATAATCTCCAGAAAAACATGTAAAACTACCTCTCTCATTGATTAATGGGAGCCACGATGAAAAGTCTCAATAAGACCGATTACCTCTATTTTATCTCGTATACTATTCTTTCAATTAGCTCATTGATCTGAAATTTATTATGTCTAACTAAGATTTACCCTTTCATTTTCATTAATTGATTTGTCCAAAAATGTTCCAATATTTTTTGAGTCAAACAATTTGGCTCCTGTTTGTGAGAATTTCTTAGTGAAATTTCCTAGTCTCTTCCAGATCAAAGACAAAAAACACAATTACCCACCGGAAAAAGCGCCAAGGCAAAACTCAACCCACGCGGGACAAAGGCACAGCATAGAAGGGGAAGCAGAGTCGAATAGAGTCACCGAATTTAGAAATCCTCGCCCCATCAACCATCAAAATGCCAAACAAAACGAGCAACGTTACAAACCTGCTCTCATTCACCGGTTCATCGGATGGGGGTAAGGAAAGTATCATTTTAACTCACCTTCTGCTCTTCGCTCAAGCAGGAACACAAATGCCGTGCGGGCGAGCGAGCAAAGAAACATCTCAATTAAAGAATGAGAAACCACTACAAGACTACCGAAATATCGCCCGCCAATGGCATCTTCAGGCCGGAAGGCTGGAATCAGGCAAAGAAACTCCAATATGGGCACAAAATGAACATAAGCGAAACAGTAACGTTTCATACTCTCTGACATTATGCCCTCTGATGCAGACAATATCAAGCAAACTATGACTCCCTTGGAGGATGCCCGACTCTCCAAAAACTGGGACTGACGATGAGGTACTATTTAGACAAGTTCGAAATAACGCCCTTTAAGGCCAAGGGCCTTCGCCAAAAGGAAGAATTCGGCCTTGATCGAACGACGGCATGTTGCTATTTCGATAAGTTCGAAATAATACCATTTAAGGCTAAGGGCCTTCGCCAAAAAGAAGAGTTCGACCTCGATCGAATGACGACGCATTAACACCCTTTAAGGCCAAGGGCCTTCGCCAAAAATAAGAGTTTGACCTCGATCGAACGACGACGGGTTATTATTTCGATAAGTTCGAAATAACACTCTTTAAGGCCAAGGGCCTTCGCCAAAAAAGTAGAATTCGACCTCGATCGAGCGATGACGGGTTACTATTTCGAAAAGTTCGAAATAACATCTTTTAAGGTCCAGGGTCTTTGCCAAAAAGAAGAATTCGACCTCGATCGAACGACGACATGTTACTATTTCGAAAAGTTCGAAATAACACCCTTTAAGGCCAAGGGCCTTTGCCAAAAAGAAGAATTCGACCTCGATCGAACGGCGACATGTTATTATTTCGACAAGTTCGAAATAACACCCTTTAAGGCCAAGGGCCTTTGCCAAAAAGAAGAATTCGACCTCGATCGAACGGCGACATGTTATTATTTCGACAAGTTCGAAATAACACCCTTTTAAGGCCAAGGGTCATCGCCAAAAAGAAGAATTCCACCTCGATCGAACGGCGACAAGTTTCTATTTCGACAAGTTCGAAATAACACCCTTTAAGACCAAGGGTCTTCACCAAAAAGAAGAGTTCGACCTCGATTGAACGACGACGGGTTACTATATCAATAAGTTCGAAATAACACCCTATAAGGCCAAGGACCTTCGCCAAAAAAGAAGAATTCGACCTCGATCGAACGATGACGGGTTACTATTTTGATAAGTTCGAAATAATATCCTGTAAGGCCAAGGGCCTTCGCCAAAAGGAAGAGTTCGACCTCGACCGTACGACGACAGGTTACTATTTCGATAATTTCTAAATAACACCCTTTAAGACCAAGGGCCTTCGCCAAAAAGAAGAATTCGTCCTCCATCGAACGACGATGGGTTACTATTTCGATAATTTCTAAATAACACCCTTTAAGACCAAGGGCCTTCGCCAAAAAGAAGAATTCGACCTCGATCGAATGGCGACGGGTTACTCTTTCGATAAGTTCGAAATAACACTCTTTAAGGCCAAGAGCCTTCGCCAAAAAGAAGAATTCGTCCTCCATCGAACGACGATGGGTTACTATTTCGATAAGTTCGAAATAACGCCCTTTAAGGCCAAGGGCCTTCGCCAAAAAGAAGAATTCGTCCTCCATCGAACGACGATGGGTTACTATTTCGATAAGTTCGAAATAACGCCCTTTAAGGCCAAGGGCCTTCGCCAAAAAGAAGAGTTCGACCTCGATCAAACAATGACGGTTTGATATTTCGACAAAAGTTCGAAATCACACCCCAAGGCAACCCCAAGGACATGAGCCATCACCAAAGAGAAAAGTTCAAAATATATATAAGGCCAAGGGCCGTCAGTGAACAAAAAGGGGAGGAAAGACCGGGATTTGCCATATGGGAGACTACCCCGCACCAAAATCATGAAAAGCGAAAACAAAGATAAAGTACAAGGAAAATGACATCGAAAAAATTCTTCTTTATACAGTCACCGTGCTAACGGTCGCAAATTACACATGGCCCAAGCCAACAATAAAAAAAGAGAAAAGAAGAAAGGAACAACGACAACCGACAATGAATAAAAGAAACAGACTAAGACAACATTCTTTCACTCGGCGTCATCACCGCCACCATCATCGCCATCAACTCCAGGGAGCTCTCCCTCATCATTCGCGCCCTCTTCGGCCTCCAGAGTCGCAGAGTCATAACCAAAGTTGACACGAGCCTTTCACGCTTTTGCTCGTGCTCCTTCATATGCGGCCTCAGTAACATTGCCCGCCTCCCACAGGCTCTTGTATATATCACGCTAAGCTTCAGCATGAACCTAAAGCTCGTGTAAGCGGTGGGGAACAGCGGCGGAGGAAGACTCAATCTATGCCAACAGTCTCTACCTCAAGAGCAGCGACCCGATCTCCTAAGTTCGAAGTTTCCCGGTCGATCTCACCAATACGCTCCTCAAGCCTCGCCTCTATTAGTGTTGTCGTCGCTCTCTCCGACTCCTGCTCAAACTGGAGGACGCGGATAGTGTTTTCTAGGGTCGCCGCCCTTGCTGAGGCCGCAGACTAGGCACTCTCGATACTCTGTAGTCCGGCGACATTTCTCTCCAACTCGGCTATCTTTCCCATCCACTCTGCACTCATCGCCTCGACCTTCACAAGATTTTTGTCCATTTCGGCTTGCATTGACATCAGTCTCCCCTGCAGATAATCATACTCTGCTGCCACCCCCTTTCCCACCTCGAGCTCTTCATCCTTCGCGCGAAGCTGCTCTTCGAGCACATTGTTCCTGCGAATGGCCTCCATCAACTGCTGGTCTCTCTTATCCAATTCCTCACCTAGGGATCGAGTACCGGGATTCTCCCTCAGTCACTCGTGCATCTCACGACACTTATTGCGATAGCATCGATACTTTTCCAATATCTTCAAGAAAAGCTTGGCCCGAATGTCGGCCCTGCGCACTCTCCACTTCCACCATGTACGTCTGAAAAACGAAAATATGGGTTAAAGCCATATCAACAAGAAAACTGAGAGAAGTATAAAAGAAAAGTGCAACGTACTCTCAAGCCCATAGCGGCCACCTCATTCATCAAATCGACATCAGGAACGTTTTGGAGAGCCTCGTTCTCGGCAGCAGAACACAAAATGTCGAATTGTGGCACCAGATCCTCCGTGTCCCCCAGGAGATTAACATCCGAAGAAATCTCAAAAATACAAGACGACCCTCCCCCACTAACCACCTAGTGGGTAATACCCTCCTCAAACATCCTCACATCATCAGGATCGAGGTCCGAATCAGATTCATAATCGTCGACCACAACGCCTATTCCCCTTTCAGTTGCTGAGGAGGAAGCACGACCAGGTACGGAGGACGAGGGTACATCTGAAACCACAACGGCAGCCTCAGAAATCTGGCCCCCTATCAAGGCAGGTTGCTGATCATCAATAGCAGCAGGAATCTCCGTCGATGGGGCAGATACGACGGTTGTCTCCATCTTTATGGGTGGAGCGGTATCAACCCCCGTCCCAGATTCTGTCAAGGGAGAGTCGTCCAGGTGAATTACAGTTGAAGGAGCTGCCTCGAATTCCACTCGCCGACTCTTAGACGGCCTTTCTTCTTCCTCAGCACGGGAAGATTCACCCGTCAGACGAGCGACACGAGTCGGGACCTCAATCTGAGAAGTGGCCTCCGCAGGAATAACCACAGCCGCCGCTTGACTGAAGCAGCCCTCAACGAAGGCCGGGCGGTAGGTGCGAGGAGACGATGACGGCTGACGAAAAGCTAATGAAGGAGCCCTCGCTCCCCGCACTCTCCCCGGCATCGACAAAACCGCACATAAGTAACTGAGTAAAAAGAGAGGAAAAATAGCAAGCTGAAACGACATTTGACCTGTGAGGGGCCTGCGTCCAAATTTCTCATAAAAGGCCGACCATGTGCAAACCCCCACCTATGGGGAAGGATGGCACTCACCCACTCGCGGATACCCTCGACAGATGGAGGGGGCAATTTCTCAGCTACAAAGACAATGGGGTTTAGTACTGTAATAGAAAGCGGTCGGGCATCTCAACGACTAAAAAATAAAACATAAGAAACTTACATGCAAAGTTCCACTTCTCAGGGAACCTCATTGGATCCGCCACAATATGCTCAGTCCGCACATAGAAATAATTCTCATAGAAACGACGGTTACTCCTGTCGTCCATTTTCACCACCAGACTCTTCGACCCTCGGGGACGCATATGGATCATCATGGTGCGGATAAGTTGAGGGGCGAAGATATTGAGCATGTGATCCAAAGTGATCTCACGACCGACGAGTTCCGCGAACTTGAGCAACATAAGAAACAGCTTGTACAGGTACGGCGGAAGCTGGGCGGGGCAGACCTTGTAAAAACAGCAGAAATCTATCACCAGTAGGAGGAGAGGAAGTGTGTACCCGATAAGAAAGGGGTAGGCATAGAACACGCAGTACTCGGGGCGGTCAAAATGGACTATGTCATTCCCTACCGCCGGTCGCATGTCAACGTAACTGGGGATTCCCCACCTAGATTTCAACTCGGGAATATCTTCTTCTCTCATAATGGAGGGGACAGGTTCCAGCTCCACCCCGGCGCAACTGCTGAAGTCGGTCAATTCTATCCCAGGACGAGGCAAAATCTCAACTACCGACGGGACCTCCTCGTCTTCCACCACTTCTGCCCCTCCAATGGCATGAGCAACATTTTCCGATGCCGGAATTATGACAGGGAGATCGGTGCGAGAGGAATCACCAGCCATTTTGTCAAGATGATGCGGCAAAAAGACAACGGAAAGAAAGGATGGCAGTTTTCAATTAACTAAGGGCAAACGATAACTCGGAGTATCAGGAAGAAAGTATATCTGCAGAATTCTTTCAAGCAAAAGGCAAAGAAGTGTGTCAATCGAATGATGTGTTCCTTCTATTTATAAGAGACATAAATCCCCCAAGCAGGAAACCAAGAGTCGCCATCGAATCTGATAGGGCACGAAACGTTTCGGTTCCCCAGGAATGTGTGTCATAATGGCGGCAGCCACGAAACAACGCTTTAATGTCAAACGACGTTTCGGTTCTGAAACAACCGCAACGATCCAAGGATATCGAAAGAGCGCCCTCATCCCACTTGAAACATAAAAAGCATAACCAAGGAACAAGTAGTCAGATTTCTCTCGAATTCGTAGCAATCATGATCCGTCTGCCTGGCCCGACAGGAGACGACCCCGACAGACGGAGGGACTAACTGTATTGGTCAAAATCTGACTGTTGTGGTCAAGCTGACCAACATCCAGCCTAGGCGGCAAAGCAGCGAAAGACAACATGGTCTACTCCACATCTAGCACTCTCGATACCCGTCGAGTTAGAAGAAACAACGTTTAAAGGACGACCAAGGCAGACATAGTGTAAGAGAGCGTCGGACCGAGTGAATAGCAAAGGTCTCATGACTATATATAATACGGGAAAACCTTCGATCGGGGGGCTTCCTTCCATCCTCTCTCCTGAGTTTTCTCCTTGTAATCTTCATAATAAAGAAGAAAGGAGTAATCTCCAGAAAAACATGTAAAACTACCTCTCCCATTGATTAATGGGAGCTACAATGAAGAGTCTCAATAAGATCGATTACCTATATTTTATCTCGTATATTATTCTTTCAATTAGCTCATTGATCTGAAATTTATTATGTCTAACTAAAATTTACCCCTTCATTTTCTTTAATTGATTTGTCCAAAAAGGTTCCAATATCTTTTGAGTCAAACATAAATAAAGAAACATTCCTCCACTTATCGATCATGAGAATTTGACTGATTAAGAATACTCCTCTTTCCCAAATTACCCAACAAAAAAGACAGAAATAAACAGATAATTATCTTTGAAATTTTCTTTATTACTCAATGGAAGATAGAAGGTTAAAAAATTAATCTAGACGAGCTAAGTGCATTTATATATTCTCGTTCATTTTCTTAATTGAAAATAATTGGAAGTGAAGGTGGGAAAAAGGAATGAGGTTCATACTCATACTGACTTGAGCACATATTCTAGTTCAAGTCTGGCTGCTTCACAAAAATTTCAGATGAAGCAGTTATTTTATGGAAGTCCAGAAAAAGACTTCACTTAAGAAGAGGTAGCTTGAACAAAAGCTTATTAGAAAACATCGATAAATCAGAACGTCAGAAGTACCAGTGAATATACTAAAAGGAACAAATATAGAATTCTAGTTCAGGTTGTGTAAAAAAATAAAATAAAAAAATTATCACCCTGGAGACTACATATCAAGATGCTAGAAAGATAAAGAGGTATCTTGCTCGGACTCTCCAAAATATTGCCGCACCTCGTGTTGGATCCTCCAAAATGCATCCCTTTTGAAGGATTCGACACACTCCCAACGGCATTTTTGAAGAATCCGAACAACATAAGATAAGAGGCCTCAATGATAAAGGAAAATTTTGCTAGCATTGCAAATGATAATAATTTCATTTTTCTGGAAGCCAATATTACTAACATGAGTATATCTCCCATCCTGTTACATGTGATTTAAGATTTGTTTTTACCTAGTAGTATAAAAGTATATACAATCTCAAGTATATATCAGATCGAGATTAATGTTTTTATCAGAGTGAGGCTGGGAGAAATTATACCTTACTCTTTAAGCTTTTACATGAAATAGATACGCACTTCAATATCGTATTAGAGTTGCACGAAACCTAAGTTTAAGTCTTAGCACTATCATCATCAAAATAAAAATAAAAAATCCATGTTTGGTTTATGAAAATGAATTTAGTCCTCACATGTTACAAAGAACTTTTACGTATTTTGAGTAATTAAATAGCACGAGAAGAGACATATTAAAAATATAATTAAATTAATAAAAATGTGCTATCTTTTAACAATTTAAGCTTTTACATGAAGTGATATGATCACACATTTAATATAAATGACTAGAGAAATAAAGGAGGAATCTGTCTAGCTATTCTAGGAACCATGAAAACATAAAGGGGTCGCTTGATAGGGTGTATAAAAATAGTATTGAATATGGTGTATTAGTAATGCTGGCATTAATAATACCAGAATTAATTATGCTAAGATTATTTCTTATTGACTGTTTGGTTTGGTACATTGAAGGTTTTGAAAGGGCAATTTTGTCTTTATACATGTTTATCCATATATTATAAAATATGATATTGCTAATACCGTTTGCAATGTATAAGAGTAGTACCAAATAGGGAGCATACTAATACAATTATTAGCTATACATAGGTTATGAA